ACGTGTATCACTACTAAAACTGAAATCGGAGTAAAAATTGGAAATAAAGAAATAATCCGATTAGATGTAATAACAGTTAACCACTTGACGAATGAATTGCAAGTAGTTAATCTAAACAAAAAGGAATTGTTGATGATAGACAAACGAAATCAGTTTAGTAATTTCAAAAACAAATGGAAACAACCGGACATACTCATAGGTGCGGATCACTTCTTCAAGTTTATCCAGTTTGACCAAGCAGAGAACTTAAAATCAGGATTTTCATTGATCCATACAAAGGTTGGACCTATAATAGCTGGAAGTGGGTATATAAATGAAATACACGACAGTATTTCAGAAACCACATCAGTAAGTCCGATTTCTCAAGTCAATGCCGTCAATATTCCAGACTTAGATCACTTTTGGAAACTGGAATTAATGGGTATACAAGACAAAATAAACTCTGACAATGATGAAAAGGCATTGCAGCAATTCAAACAAACTATCACTAGGGACAAGGGAAGATATCAAGTTTGTTGGCCTTGGAAAGATTCAAAGAACAAACTAAGCGATAATTTCGGACTTTGCCTTGGAAGATTAAAGTCGTTAATTAGGAGGCTTCAAATGAAACCTCAATTACTAAGTCGATACAATCAAACTATTGAAGAACAACTCAATTCCAATATAATTGAGAAAGTGTCATCGGAAATGAATGAAGTTGGTATTATTCATTATCTGCCTCATCACGAAGTAATAACACCAAAACCACGACAAATCTGAGGATAGTTTATGATGCATCAGCTCATTGTAAAGGAATGAAAAGTTTAAATGATGTTTTATATCGGGGACCAATAACACTCCCTGATTTGGTTGGAGTTTTGCTACGTTTCCGTACAATGAAAAATGTAATAATAGCAGACGTAGAAAAGGCGTTCTTGCAAATAGAATTGCATCCAACAGATAGAAACTGCACTCGATTTCTTTGGTTGAAAGACATTCGAAGTCCAGTTAACGAAGAAAACGTAAGTTGTTACCGTTTCCAACGAGTTCCATTTGGAATTGTATCATCTCCATTTTTATTGTCCGCTACACTCAATTATCATTTGGAAACTTGTAAAAGCAAAATCGCACTCGAGTTAAGGAAAATCTCTATGTCGATAACATTATAATACCAACCAAAGGAACCAACGAAGCTCTTTCCAATTATAAGGAAATTAAAATTATATTCAATGAAGCATCAATGAATGTACGGGAATTTCTCTCTAACGACCAAGAAGTCAATGAAAAACTTCCGGTACAAGATCGAGCAGAGGTAAGTTCAATTAAAAAATTCTAGGTCTCAATTGTACCACAAACAAGATATCATTCAAGTAACGTTAAAACCATGGTTTGGTAAGAAATTAACTAAAAGAATTGTATTGCAATTCGTAGCCTCACAATATGACCCACTAGGATTCATAGTTCCTATACTGATAAGATTCAAATTGTTTCTCCAAACTTTGTGGAAAAAGAACCTTTCATGGGATCAAACTATAAGTGAGGAAGATGAAACCACGTGGAAATTACTCACGAACGAATGGCCAAAGAAACTAAAGGATCTACCAAGATTCACAACAAATTGTTCCAAGCAAGTACAATTTCATGTTTTTACTGACGCATCAACTGCTGCATACTCAGCAGCTTTATACATTCGAACTCAAGAAAGAGAAGTATTCTTAGTGTTTGCTAAATCCCGAATTGCGCCAATTAAAGGAATGTCAATACCTCGATTAGAATTACTGGCAATACTCATCGGAGTGAGAATGGTACAATTCGTATTAAAAAAAAAGAGCTTGAGGACGTGATAACAATTTTATGGTCCGATTCTCAATGTGCGCTTCATTGGGTTCACAATAGTTCCCGTTTACTACCAACGTTCATACAAAATAGGGTAGAAGAAATACGAAAGGCGAAAATCCATTTTAGATATATCCCAAGTGAACAAAACCCAGCTGATATAGCTACAAAAGGAATCTCTCCGAATAAACTAAAAGGATATGATCTTTGGTGGAAAGGACCAAAGTGGTTAACAGAAAACGAATCAAAATGGCCACAGTGGAAATACAATTACAATGAGGATTACCAGGATGAAGAAATTGTGGCCCACATCACAGAACCAATTATCATAAACAAACATTTCGGAATCTTAGATGCTAGTCGTTTTAGCAAATGGTCAAGATTAATAAGAACAACTGGTTGGGTTCTGAAATTCATAAGATTAACAATGAAAAGGGAAATTCCTTGGCTAAAGATGGCAACGAAAGAAAAGAATATATTGACAACACAGGATTACGAGTTGTCAGAAATTGTGCTATTCAAACAAGCACAGTCAGAAGGAGTTACCAAAGATGAAATAATCAAATGGAATTTGTTCTATGATAACGAACTATGGAGATACAAAAGCCGCGTAGTTAACTCTGAAATGAAAGAGAGTAACTTACACCCAATATATCTCCCGAGACACAACACCATAACTGAACTCTTTATTCAGCAACGACATGAACAACTGTATCATGCTGGAATTGCTCATACACTCTCAAATCTGAGATCGACGATATGGATCCCAAAAGGTAGAACGGAAGTCAAACGAATCTTGAATAAGTGCATGAAGTGCAGACGCTGGACAACTAAACCATTCAAATTACCAACTATGGCTGATCTTCCAGCATCTCGGACCACAAGATCAAGACCCTTTGCGCGAGTAGGACTAGACTATTTAGGTCCTGTGAATATCAGGAGTGATAATCGGCTAACAAAAAGATGGGTAGCACTATTCACATGTTTCACAACAAGAGCTGTACATCTAGAAGTAGTAGAAACTCTTTCAGCCGAAAGCTTTTTACATGTTTTCAGAAGATTTACAGCAAGACGAGGCTTTCCAGAATTAATCTTAAGCGACAACGCTGGTCAATTCCAGTTAATTTTTAAAATCATTGTGAAACAACAATTAAATGAATTCCTAGCGGAAAGGAAAATGATCTGGAAAAATATAATACCAAAGGCGCCTTGGAACGGAGGAGTATATGAGCGACTTATTGGGTTAACAAAAAGGGCAATGAAAAGAGCCATCGGCAGAAAGTTATTATGGGAACGGGAATTGATTACGCTAGTAGCGGAAGTGGAAAGTATTTTGAATACTCGACCACTAACTTACGTAAATTTTGATGATTGTATCATATTGCGTCCAATTGACTTTATACTACCGAATGCGCATCTAATCATGCCTGCTAAAAACAAGAATGAAATGGATGATTTTATCCCTCATAAATTGGATTCGAGAGAAAACTCATTCAATACTGGTCAAATACACTAAAGGCCCTCGATGCCTTCTGGGAAATATGGAAAGAGGAATATTTAAATACTCTTAAAGAAAGAGCACAAAGGGAACACTCTTCTCCGAGAGATGTAGTAAAAGAACCCCACGAGGGAGAGATTGTGTTACTAAATGAACCAGAAATTCCCCGTGGCATGTGGAAACTAGCCAGAATAAGAGAAATCAAAACAGGAAAACCGAAAGGAAAAATACTCAACAGACCGGTGAATATGTTATACCCACTGGAAGTCAAAGGTGAGGAAATTGACCCTCAACCAACAATGTTTAACAAATCAGTGCAAAATGTCAATGAACAAGAACCAATTGCTCTACGAACTAGAAGCGCTATAAGGCGAAGCAATCAACCAAAGCTGTCCAACGAACTAAAGCATTTAGCTCCGTCGGTCGGGAGTGTCGCGGATTTTAATATCGCGATCTAAAAATATGAGTTGCAAATTGTAGTAAAGATATCTACGTAATTTCCGCAAATAATGCTTATACTTCGGACTCTTTGTTTCCAAATTTATGCTTCTACATATTGAAACAATTTACATCGTTCTTTGTTAGCAATCCTTACAATCATGAGGATATCTACATTGTTCTTTGTTAGCTATCATAATCATGCGGTTATCTAATAAGCTCTTTATTAGCAACTGGTGCCCATGCAAGCACCTCCTCTCCTTTGTTTGGATCATTGTCTAACATCAATGTAGATTTTATAACCATACTATTGTCAATTAAATCAGTTTATTCAATTTGTTGCCCAAATATTTAGCTGGCATCCAACACATCTCCCTGACATCAAACTTCTCCCCCGAATAACAATTTAACCAAATCATAAAGGTTTGTTTCCAAAAACATTTTTTGCTTCCACTACAACGTAAGCCATTATTACATCAAGTAACACGTACCTGTGACAATCTTTTAGAAAAGATTATTTTTCAACAGACAACCTTTAAAAAAAACGATTAAAAAAAAAGAAGGGTAATGAATTGGGAATATTACTTATGGTTTAAATTTTAATTTTTGGATTTAAAAGTAATGATTTAAATTTCAAAACGGACAAATTCAAAATCTTCGATGTCAAAATAGAAGATAAAATAGTAGATTTGCAGAATCGGAAATGAATAATTCAAATAATAACACAAGAGGTGAATACTGGAAACGGAAATGAAAATAGGAATGCTAATATCATTGAAACATTTGCATTATGCCATATCATGCGCAAACTTGAAAGTATCATTCGTGATAGCATCGTCCAGCGTCCTCATCTATTGCCATTATATTTCGTATCCTAACGGAATATATATTGCGAAAAGACGTAACAAATTGGAACGCGCTATTTTGCGTTTATTTCAGGATTTGGGACGGTCACATTGATGCGTTCATCTTCGGGTTAATTGGCGGGCGTTTGTATTTTTGTGGTTGTTTTGTTGGGGTTTTGGGAAGGATTTTGTATGCTAAGTTTTTGCAAATATAAGTGTGCTCAGTAATAATTAATACCCTTGTTTCATAAAGTTGTATGCTTTTTTCTTTATTTCTATTTGTTTTTGTTTCAGGTTCAGTTAATTGTGAATCCAATGATTCATTTTATTGTTTTTAATTATTACTGATGTGTGTATTTCAGCATGGTTTTTTTAAGCTCAAAACTTCTGGTCTTTTGTGCTTAATGACGAGAAGTAATACAATAGATAATAAACTAGGTGCTGTGGCTGGTGTTGCAAAAGAATATTTAACTTGTAGTGCAAAGATGAGTGGAAGCAATAAGCTTGAAATCATTGGAAATGAAATGTGCAATAAAGCAGCAACATCGACATTGATGTCAGCAGATCGAACATCTAGCACTGCTGAAGCAGTTATAAATTCTGTTGTTAATCGTCAGCATGAAGCACTCAAAACGGGTAAACCAAACATTGAGTAAGTTTCAAGTTTGTTTTATTAATAATAATGACAATAATGATAACTGATAACAATAAATAATAATAATAATAATAACAATAATATTGTTATTATTACTATTATTATCGTTATTCTTATTATTACTATTCGTTATCGAATTATTATTATTATCGCTGTTATTGTCATTATTTTTCATTGCTACTATTTATTATTGTCAATTATTATTGTTTTCATTATTGTCATTATTATTATTTTCATTGTTTTTGGCATTACTATCATAATATAATAATTGTCATTGTTATTACTAATTATTATTACTGCTACTATTATTTTTTTTTGTTACTGCTATTTATTATTACCAATTATTTTCATTACTATTATTCTTATTATCATCATTATTAATATTTTTATTATTATTATCATTAATATTGCTACCATTATTGTTATTATCATTATTATTACTATTATTAATTTATATGCCGTATTATTAATTATTGCATTATTACTGTTGTTATTATTGTCATTTAAAAATTTTGTTTATCATCCAAGTGTTTCATTACGTTTCAGTTTAATAACGTTTTGATCAATTGTTTTTGGTTTTTTTCACGTAGCTGATATTTTTTCCGAAATTTCTTTTTAATGAATTTTTGAAAACCAAATGGATCGTATTGAAAAGGACATTTGTTAACTTCATTTCAAAGTTGTTTCCTAATTGTCTGTTCCGGAAGTCGTTTTTAATTTTCGTATAAGATGCTAGCTGAGATTTTCCTGCATCCCTTTCGGATAAAAGGTTTCACAGGTCTTTCCATTTTAATGTATCTCTTTTTCAGAACGCAAGTATCTCCGATAAGAGAAATATTGGAAATTCGCCGTAATAACTTATCTGGTGAATTGCTTGTGCTCAGAGATATTGACAACAGTCCTAAAAAGGCTTGCTTTTTAATTGATATTCTTTCCTTTTCAAATTACTATCCGCGAAATATACCAGAAAATTTCGAAACTGAGATGCAAATTTGTATTTAGGTTGGGTGGATTGGTGAGCCCGCCTTTCATCCACTGGCGCTTATTCGTGGTCCTAGCGGAACATTTGCCGTTTCAAAGAAGGTGGTGATTATTGGCCGAGACTCTGCAAATTCGATTACAGATCTTGTAGTTCAGGTCATTTCCACATTCCCTTCGTTTTACAAACTTGTTATAGGAAGCAGTAATCGAGTATGACGCTATAAATTGGTTAGTATATTTCATGCAAATCCTGGATCTTCTTTTTGTTAATATATTTTATAATAACTGGTCGTTTTCAAGCATTCGAAAATAAGGTATAATACATCCTTGATCTCCCATTCTCCAACCATGAATCCCTTTCGTTCTTCAATTCTTCCATCTCCAAAATTTCATATTTTTATATTGGATTCACGCTAAAGGCTACTTATTTGGAGTGAATAAATTTTGGAAACTTTGGCAATTTAACTTTCAACCTGATATCTTTGAAATTTTGTCAAGATTTTAACCAGCAATCGCTCTTCAGTAGGTATGTGATGAGAAAGAATATGTTTATGAGCTGTGAGGGACTCAGAAATACATGATGATACTGGACGTAGTGAAGTGAGGTGGAGTTTAGCTGACTGGGAAGGGGAAGAGAAGGAACGAGGGTGGTGAATAACTTTTGGTAGTTTTCATAAAGGGAAGAAAAATAGCATTATTTCAGGAAAGCAATTACGTAAGCAAGTGTCATGTTATTCTTTACCATACTGGTCAACAAAATAGATGGAATATCAAAGTGAATGGGAAGAACGGTGTCTTCATCAATGGAATTATGTATGGACAGTCTGAACAGGCTCGAAGTATTCCATTTAGGTTTGTATTAATTTATCCGAAACAGTAATAGCAATGTTGTTTGAAGTTTGTCGCAACTGTGTACTGGATACAGTTATATTGTGTAGTGTCTCTGCTGTTATCACAACTGTGTACTGGATACAGTCATATGTCATTTTTCTGAATGATCGTGCATTTGATTCAGCAGGTTTTTGGTCAATAAGATCCATATATTTCGTTGATTTTTAATATATGTGTGATTTCTCGAAATATGAGTTTCTGCTCAAAAGTTTAACTCTTTTGCATAGTAAACCAACGAAATTTACTCATTTTATAGATTTCGGTTCAATTCAAAATGCTTAGACCAAAAGTTGATGTTACCTCATGCCCTTTATTAATAAACAATAATGTTGATATTATTGATTAAGCAGTCTCTTTGTTGGTTTCTTATAAATTTTTTGTAAATTGATGAATATCTTCGGAATATGCTGTGGCTGAATGGGTCACTGTGCATTTACAAGTTTCACCGAACATAGATTTTCACGCTAGTCTAGACTGAGTAAAATTAAAACCAGCATCGAAGTTTTACTCTATCCAAAGATCTTGGCAGTTTTATCGATAGAAAGATTCTGGAATCTTTCGAAAATTTCATAAATTTGTCATTAAATTTTGATCACACTAGAAATTTTTGTGTGTACCCACCAATATTTGTCTTTTCTAACTCTCAGCAGCTGTGAAGTTGTGAAAATTGCTGTATCACTTTTGTCGTTTCTTTCAAAGTTTCATTTTGTAAGAAAAGAGATTTCACAATTAAATCTGTTAGAAGTTTCTGTAGTTTTCAAATCATTAATGAACCTAATATCCAAGCGGTGTTTGTTAGTAAGCATGATTGTCATCCATTCATAATTACAGTACTCCTTTCTAGTGCTAAATGATTATTTTTTGGAATTCTTATAAGTCATTATTCAGTTCTCTGAATGTTTAGACTTTGTGTGATTCATCACTAAAAACCAAGGAATTGAAATAATTGGTTAGACATGAAAATGTTTCCAATGTTCCTTTTAATTGCTATTATTTGGATCTTCCAATTACTAGTTTCTTCACGTTTAAAATCTTAGTTGTGAACCGGTGAGGTAAAGATGAAAAGCGAGAGAAAACGAGAGGAGGTAGTAACGATGAGGGAAATTTTAGTGGGTAGCTGATAGAAAGTAAAATTGGGAAACTGAAAGTTACTTAATGCTAGATGATTTTTGAGGTTTTTTTGAGTGGAACACTGAAATATCGGTAAGCAGTATTTGCAATAACGATAGAACTCGTAATTGTCCTATTCTTGTCTATTACTACAAGTATTGCTACAAGCAAATATGACACATATATTAATGCTGCATATATTTTGTTCAACTTTTATTTTTTGGAACATTTACTGAGGTGTGGATTCATTGATCATAAAGTTCCATGATTTATATGGTTTCATTATATGTTTTTGTTGAAGATGCAAAGGATATTTAATGGGTAAAGCAATACAGAATACTATTATTCAGACCAGTAATTTCGGATGTTTCTGGTAACTAACTGTCTTAGAAAAATAAGGAACAGTGGCTGGTAGGTTAAGAACCTGGTCGATAATTAGCGTAAAGTCGATTGGAATGTTTGCCTAATCAAATCATTCAAACTCCAAATATTCATTGGTACAGCAAAGTGGAAGATTCCCTGTGTTGATCGTGTTAGTTGATATGTTGAAAATAATGTATCAGTAGATAGTATCAATGAACAAGCAAAAGTATCTTTATCGATGAATAATTATACTTCATATTTTTCAGCTGTATTTTTCATTTCCCTTCCACACATATTGTTATACTATTTCGTGGTGTGGAACCACTACCTGGCACTGCGAATTCGCTTGACTGTAACGTTCAGTTAACAGGAAATGAAATAGATTCAGCAGTTTCCTTGGCTGGTATGTTATTTTCATGTCGTGTCTTGATGGGGGTTTAGATGTCAGGATTTATCAGTTGATAAACCGAGGTTGAGGTACAAGGAACAGAAAATGCTACATTAATTGTACTAAAGTTTTGGCTTTCTCTGAGCACATTTTTTTTTTTTCTTTCTCTAAGCACGAGATTAAGCACATTTTTTTTTTTTTTCAAATTAAATGCGGACTTGTGTTCAGTGAAATCATGTTGAGAAATTATATTAAAATTTAGATGAATATGGATGCATCAGTGCCAAGTGTTCTGTATCCCTGATTTTCGAACCTAGAAAAAGGGGAACCGCATTTGCTCTTACAGAATCAGATAAAACATTTTATTTGTCTAATAAGCCTCATATGGAAGAATGCACGAACATACCAACAACTGAACACAGCGAACTGGTCCAGATACCTTCTGGGACTTCTGCAGGAGCAGAGTACCGTTTCCTTTTTTGATTTATTTACTTATTCATTGTGCTTAAAACGTTTTCTTCACATTACTTTTTTTGATTCTTCCAAAACATCTTAATTAATTACTGTAATTTGCTTAACTTCTGTATTACCAGTAGCACTACTGTCTTAAGATCTGTTATTTTAAGTCTTTAATTTTTATTCAGTTGGTGCTCTTTCTTATATGTTCATAGGAGTCTCAAACATGCCTTCTAAGCACTTCCTTTTTTTCGGTTGCAATTGTTTTCTAATCTGAATATATTTAGTGTCAACACTGGATCGCCGACATCAATGTCAACCTCAAGTTCTGGCCGAAACTGCAAAGGTATTTTGGAAGCAATTCAACATTCTTGATCTCAGTTAACTGCGAAAAGAAAATTTTTAGAAGATTATGAAATCTCGGATGAAAAGCCACCATATTCATACACTCAGCTGATCGTCCAAGCTATTCTGAGTTCACCAGATCGGCAGACAACTTTGTCAGATATTTATAACTACATCACAAGCCGTTATCCGTGGTATCGTAAAACCGATAAAGGTTGGCGAAATTCAATCCGTCATAATCTTTCACTGAATCGATATTTCATAAAGGTAAGGTCAACATTAATATTACATTTCATTCAAGTAAATTATAACTTCTGTAATTTCTGCTGTAATTTTAACCAATTTGTCTTTTTGTCCGACAAGTTTCAGTCAAATGCAGTTAATGAGAAGCAAGAGTAAAACAACATTTAACATAGCTCAAAGAAAATGTTAGAAAATCTGAGATTTGAAACATATTTCAGGTCGCACGTTCTCAGGAAGGACCCGGTAAAGGTTCATTTTGGAAGATCGAATCAACTGCTTTACGTAACATTGAATTGGCTTACAAAAAAAGAAAATCAAAATCATCAAAGTGTAACAAGTAAGTAACTTTTGTGGTACCAGTTACTGGTTTTACTGAAAAAAAAGTGTAGCCTTGTTCTTTGCTTTCCCCGTTACTTGTTGCTATTACAAAGCATCGAAATTGCGGCTTTTTTTTTCTTTTTAACTGCGTTTCTTGTTATATTCCTGTTTCTCGCTTTTGAAATTATCTGCATCCCAATATTAATATTGTTGCAGATTCTCGAATCTTATAATAAACAGTGGTCCAAAATCTGACAACATCATGACCTGTGCAGGTATTCATGTTTTTTTACCGATTTTATTTCAAGTCACGGGGAGTCAGTTTCTTTTTAGATTAATTTAGCAACAATTTAAAAAATTGCAGTGGCATTAATGATGTTAATATGTTATTTCAATATCACTACGGCAATTCGTTAGATAATGATGACATGGTAATTTCGATGTTAAGAAATTTAGTGAAGCCTGTATTTGGTGCGTTACTGAAATTCCAATTTTCAGAATAATCGTATTTGTAGTCGTTTTGTTTTTCTTTCTGTGTCGTGTGATTTAGAAAATGGGTAGTCTTTTACGCGAGTTACTGCCTAAAATTAAGTGCACAGAACAACAAGTAATTTGTGTAATTTGGCAGCCTCAATTTTACTTCCATAATTTCGCCAAATTTTTTTCATCATGATTCATAGATGCGCATATATCGGGTTAAGCTATGACACGGTGCATCCGTGTTACTGGATTTGTTTAAATCTGATGTTAGTTCCATGAGTTATGGATGGTTGCATAAATTATGGCTGGATCTTCCAAGAGGGTGATTGTTATAAGTTTATTTTATATTAGCTGGCTGCAGACGCGTCTTTTTTTATAGTTTTTGGGCAATTTGTTACAGCTTTAATATTACATAATTTTTATCTTACAATCGAGATAAGTTTTAGCATCCGAAATAGAAAGGATTGAAACAGATTCATATACCGCTGATCGACAGTTTATTTTTGACGCGGAAGTGTGTGAGGAAATATTGGTATCGAGCAACGGTAGCACCAACAATAGTAGCAATAGTAATAATAGCAGCAGCTTCTTCAGTAGTGATAGTAGTAGTAGCAATGGAAATAGCAACACCACCATCAGCAGTGTTAGCAGCATCATCAGCAACAGTAATAGTATCAGTTGCAACAATACAAGAATGAATGCAAGTGGTAGAATTCCCAGTTATTTTGCAGGTATGAGTTTTGTAAACATCTTTGAACTGTTTTTGTTCTTGTGGAAGAGAAGGACATTACCAATGTTCTCAAATTTATCGAAAAATGTCCGTGATTTTAATTGTAATCATTTCACGCTATTATCAGGAAGGTTTCTTGATTTCCTATTAAACATGGAATGATGCATTGTATTCTGGTTTTTTGCTTTTTTTTTTTTTGCTGTGCGAAATTCTTCGTTAATTGACGATTGTTCGGTTGTGGTTATACAATTCTTCAATTACATAATAAAACAATGAGTAAGGTTGGGACTCTCGGATGGATAGTTTTCATGCGAGAATTACTCTTTGTTGGAGAATACAAAGATCATTCGAAGCAAAGCAGGAGGTCTTGACAGTGTTGAGATGGAAAATTTACTGGGGAATTCTTATCAAAATGCACGTTCTGATGTTTTTCAGTTTGGTCCCTAAATCTGCGTAATAAAGTTCAAGTCTATTAAGAAACGCTTGAGTACATTCCCGTTTTCTCACTATTGCCTGTGGTTTAGTAATTTTCGAAAATTTGCATAAAGTGTTGAAGTCATTTTCTTCATCCTATTTGTGTTGTTCCTTTCTCGACAAGAATTTGCATATTGCTGCTGGCGTCTTTTATTTTCTGCATCCATGTTTTTTGTTATATTTCTTGTACAGAAATTTGCATAAAGCCTGGTGTGGGGATGATTGGATCTATGAGGATTAGTTTCGAGATGGGAGGCGTCGAGGACGATTACTTCGGCGAATAGATGGGATTAGAGTTTGTGGTGTGCTGTTAATTTTAAGACAGTATTTGTTGTGGTTTTTCGTGATCTACGGGTTTAGTTTTTAATCCTATTTTCATTTCAGTTTAATTGTTCCAAGAAGTCGTCTTTCAGGTATAGATCCATCTACCAACATACAATTTTCGCCTCCTGAATCACTGTTTCCATTGCACCAGCCACAAAGTTGTATTTTTCCAGGTTAACTTTAAGTTTGAACAATTCCTCATTACATATCTTGCCATCGTTTATTTTTTTTTTCCACTTTAATATTTAATTTCAATTTATTTCATGATTTCTGAGAGATTTCGAAACTATTTCGTGACCAAGTCACAACTTCTATTTATCATAATCATTTCTTGTAATGATAGTAATACGATGCGTAAAGATCGCACTGTTCTGTAGTGATATTCATTGTTTTTGACAATTATCGTAGAAAAAAAAAAAAAAGAAACATTTGCCTGATAAAGATAAAATCTGTTAGCTGACTTTAACTTGCATTGAAATTCCCTGTTTATTTCTTCTAATTTATTTATTTCAACCAGACTGCAAGGATTATTCAGTTCTGTCAGTCCTGGTGTAATAAATCGAGATTGTACCCAGTACTTTGCTTCTTGCATACCATATCAGAGTTCATTTATCTTCTATTAAGGAACTTATCATTTGGTTATAATAGCTTCTTTCCACTCTTTTAGCCGAAGAGAGTAAGTTGATGTTCTTTCTAGATAATAATCCTCGTTTGAAAAAGGATATCACTGTATTCCCGATGCAGGATAATAAAGTATTAACTGAAGAAGTGGGATTTGAACATAGCGTACCGCGTTCTCCTAAAAGTAAGTATCAGCATTTAGTTTTATTGCCGCAAAATTCCTGACTTCGATTTTAAATTTCTTTAATACCAAAGTTGCAACTTTTGCTCAATATCATTTCCTCAATAATGATGGTACATGAATGTAGTATTTTCTTTATTTTTTGCTGTACTGTTAAGTTTCTGATAGTTACAACAAGTTTTTATCTCACTAATTATTATACAGTTCCGAGCTCTTCATCAGACTGAATTTACAGTGGACAGTACACTTCTTTTTCTGCTTAGATTTTCTGAATGAATTGATGTTTTCATGAAATCATTTTGCCTAAGCCATTAGTTGGTTGGTTAAACTTAATATTAGCTACAGACGTATCAGGAACAGAATTTCATTCTTGCGGTGGAACGTTTAAAGTTCATCAGTCTGTGGAAGATGGACGCTCTCGTCTGCAAATCTGTCCTTCTGCACCGGAATATCGGTCCGTCAATATCAACAAATTGCCGGAGGTATTTGTGTTTATGGAAATTATAGTTGTTTTATTCACACGATGAACGTATCTATGAAATATTCAAAGAACAGTGTCTCTTGATCATATTTTCCTATTTGTTAAGGAGAAACTAGGAGGGATTAGCAATTTTACATTTGAACACTTCATTTCCAGATTTAAATAGTAAATTTGTAAACGTTATTTTTTGATTTTATTTTGCGATAACTTTATATTTCCTACTTCAGGCATTAAGCTCTAATACGTTGCATCTTATCGCTCCGTACGCCCAAAACGGAACAAATAGTCTAAGCACGACACCTGTTCAAGAAGTGCTTCAGGGTGAATTTATTGTTTAAAAATTATGCAAAATGAGAGTAAATTAACAGTCTTAGCAATAAGAATTATGTCAAATTTCTCTGCAAATGGATAAGCTTGTGATATATTAGATTACGATTAAAAACTCTAATGCAAATGTATCATTTCAAATCACTGTTTAAATGAAACTATAATAGGTCAGAGTGGAGTGAATCTTATGTTGAGCAGTTCAAATGAGCTGCAGCATCATCAGGCTAATAGGAAGAGAGCACAGCCACATCATTCTAACAGACGACGAAATCACACCTACTCATCACTAGTGGAGCCAATTATTAGTGAAAAAATGATGGTCACACCAGGTCATTTGTACATAAGACCAGAGCAGCAGCGCATAAGTACATCTGATGCACAACAAGTCGTTGGCACCAAAAATTACATTGGAGATGCCAAAGTTGTCGTTGGAAGTGAACAGGGTGGCTGTTTTACACAACTACCAATTGTGAGAAAATATGGTGTTGATGAGTCTGTTAAATTGAATGCGCCGGAAATGCAGCGCTTATCCAGAGATGATTTCATGCCAGATATGCTAATTCAGCGAAAACGAACATGCACCGATGATATCACTGCTCGAAAACAACATAGAGTTACTAAAGTAATTTTTTCTCTCTAACTTTTATTCTGATATTTTAAAATTATACAACAGGTTAGAAGCTCAGAAGTCCGAGTATACGACTTTTTCTACAGCAAGTTTCAAATATCACATTTCAGGGAGAACATGCTACTTTTTATGAATTATAGATACATATTTTTAGAAGCTCAAAGAGGCGGCAGAGCAAAAGAAAACATTTGGTGTACAACTTGCTTCAGGTGCTGCACAAACTAATAATGAAAGTACTACTTGGACAGGTCATTTCTAAGAATTTTTTGGAGAACAAAAAAAAAGAAAAACTCTTCTAACTTGGTTTTCTTCTATTCTGTTAACAGTTGATGTACAGTCGGTACCAAATGTATATCAATTCTCGAAACTAACAGATGACAGTAGTACTGTTAATCTTGATAGTTAATTATTTCTCTTGTGTTTTTAGGAAATCCTGTACCGACTCTTCCATCTCATATAACGTTAGAAACTGCCACCTTGACTAATCCTAATTTTCTGGCGCAACAGTTCCAAACTGCTGACAACATAAATGGAAATCAGGTTGAGCCTAATACTGTTGAAAATAATTCTGCATTGGATAAATTGAAGCTTGCAGCAATTTTCTCTTATGCGAAATCGGAATTGCTGCGAAACAATTTATTCAGAGAGATGCTGTCGCAGCTGCATCCAAACTGTGGAACCAATCTGAATTCGCAAATGCAAACAAGTACCTCTACGACAACACAACAGGCAAACAACTGGCAAGCTACAGCAATGCAAAACGCAGAACTTGTAGCATTATATCAACAATTGTTGGCGAAACCCGACATGGTAAATACCATACAATCAACCCAACCGGTGAATGCACCTGTTACTGGAGTAACTTCGCAGAATCTGCCGAACTTTAATCCTTTATTATCAAATGCCGCTTCGATGATGATAATTTCGCAGCTGGAAGCTGCTGCATACATACAGTACCAGTCAAAAATTCAACAGATGTCTGCCTCTTCCATGTCGTTAGAGTATCTTTCTAATTACGTTAATTACATTAAAATGCTTGCGGGTTTTTCGGTAGCGCAAAGTCAGCCACAGCCATCAGATCCAGTTGCCCCAACAAATGGTGAACAGCAACAATATCAAAACGTTCAAGAGGCGCAGTCCCGATTTATTTTCCCAAATTACTCCTTCCCAACAACCTTTCCACTTAATTCTGTTCTTACTCATAACTTAAATTTGAATACGAATCAGTGGTTGAATTATTATATGCGATTGCTCGCTATTCAATCCAGTCCAGTAGGGCCGTCCACTTCATCCACCACTTCATTATGGAATCCACTCTCTACACCTACGCTTCAGAACGCTGCACCGGCACCTGTGCCGAATGTACAGAAGGAGCCCTGTGATTTAACGACACAGCGCAATGGTGGTGGTGGTAGCGGGGGCAGTCGGGAACGACATCCGAATGATTTGGAGGTGGCAGAGATACTAGCATCAATCGCTGATACTCCTTCTGGACATAAAGGTATTTTTATTGGAATATTTTCTGAATTTCTTAGTTGAATTTGAATTTCTGAACAACTCAGTTGAATTTTATCCCACTATTTAACATTGCAAGGTAACGAAAGAAGAAACTGAATATCATAATAAAATGAACTGTTCTGGTTGTGAGGTGAAGTATGCGTTGTGTCTCATTTTCATGAGTTGAATTATTAAGTCCGAGAAAATATGATTAGAAATATTTGCATCTTGAGATGTTTTTGCCTTCTCGCACATTTCAAAAGAAATCTGGAAGTCTACGCTAATCTTTTGAACACCATATTTTTTCATTATTTTTCTAACGAAAAAACTTCTGGTAAATTTTCAAGGTTAAAATGACAAACGAAAAACTAGTTAAGGATGTGGGAGTTCCTGACATATTCATTTTTACTATTTAGGTAATTAGATGCGCAGGACCGCGCTGATTAGCAAGCATTCGATTTCTGGCAGCATAATGTTTGGGACCAGTGTCATATTTTTTTGAGTTATTTCTTTTAACATATTCGTATTCTACTTAATCTATCAGTTTGTGTTATTTTTCTTCCCGTTTCTCTGCTTCCATTCGTTCATTTATTTATCCAGGTTAGCTTCGTTCGTTTGTTCAGTTTAAAGAAAAAAAAAAAACCGTCCCTTCTGCCGCATATGAAAATAATTTAATTCTTAAAATGTTTCTGAAATTTTTAGAATTTCCAAACTACCCAAAAAAAAAAAAAAAAAAACCTTTATTATATTCCTTCGAATTTGTAGTAATTAGGATAGTAATAATAATAAATTGATTTATGAGTGAGCGGATGAATTATCGTGGTTAACAATCTTTAAAATTTTTGTGGCGAGAATTTTATTTTGAAGCGAGTTCATGCCGTGAGAAATCGTTGCTTTGTTGTGAGTTGCAGAGTGTTTGTGCCTGTATTCGTTACCAATCATAATAGGTAGTTGACGTGTAGATGATGTACTTGAGAATGATAATGTTTGTTCCACACAGCCATGCAAATTTAATCTTCAAGTGAAACTTATTGTTTTAGAGCTCTTTCTCTTGTTTTTCCGTTCTCTTAAACGGTGCTCTGTAAATCCTTGTGTTGTATTATGAATGAAGTGCTGCATCATTTTTATCAAATTTTTACCTCATTTTTTCGTTAAATGTTTGCTTTGTTTTTATTCCATTACTTATTGATGTTAACTCAAAATTTACTTGTTATCTGTGCGATGTATATGTCGTTGGAATCCAAAAACTCCGTATGGTTCACAAAAATTTTGGAATCTTCCGTATCCTTATTCCTTTGGATTCACATTATGCATCTTCTTTTCCATAGTTTCCTACAATGGAGAGAATGTGGTCTTAAATGGAGAGAATGGAGAGAATGTGGTCTTAAAAAATGGAAATATTTTTTGAAATGCATTGCTTTGAATATTTTGAAACTGCGAAGAAACTTGTCCTGCTGGAATTACACTTCCCTAAAAAACTCGAAACAAAATGTATACTTCCCTGAAATCTACTTCCTCCATGAAGTCCTAGCGTTCGTTAATGTGCCTCATTGCGTTCTATTTTCTGTGAATATTTTTGCATTATTTCAAACAGTGACCGGTGATGTATTCTGGGGTGTGTACAAGTAATAATTCACCAATAAACAGTTTACCCGCGTCAAAAAAACCTCGTGACTTCAATCTGATTGTATAATTTGGAAAAAAAAAATGAGGGTAAAAGCAAAGGAAAGTGGAAGATAGAATATGAAACAAAGCGCGTTTTATAAGTACAGCCAGATCATAAGACAAAACAAAAATGAATGGAACATAAATGGTAAGTGTGTGAACTGGAGAATAATTTGTAATTTGACTACGATCCAATCATTGCATCGTAACATAATGCAAATCTGATGATAAGTTAGTGTAGAGCGAACTTACGATGTTACTCCTTTTTTACATTCGGCTACCAAACATTTCTACGAAGTTCCCATTCAAAGACTAGTAGGCATTGAAAATTTACAGGGAAATTTGAGACACGCGAGCGGGGATTTGTCAATTTCGAAAATCAAGATAACAGTAATAACTCGAACGAGAAGTAATAAAATTATGAGAAAAAATATAGAACATTTTATAGGTATTCTGATGTTACGACCTTTTAAGTGATCATCGGATTTCAAGATTTTTAAGCAAGCAACGGGAAAAAAAGAAAGGACATTGCAGAGTTTTTTTTTTTTTTTTTTTTTTTCTCTTAAAATATTTTGAAATAATCATGAATTTGAAAAGCTTGTCTTGGAGTTCTCGTAAAATTTGTATACCAAAGGTAGTTACTAATTACACCACATAACTAAGTATACCTTCTTGAATTTCATGACACTAAGTAAATCTGAATTTGGCCGGGAATACCGGGAAGGAAAAACAAACGCTGATAAAAAATGAAAGAAAAAATGAAATATATGTGACGAAGACAATCAATCAAAATAACGACAATAAACAATCTTCACTTTTGAAATAATATAAAACTTGGTGTTGAAAAGAAAAGAAAAGGGAAAATGTATCCCTGGAAATGGTAAAAACCTTGAAATAAAAAAAAGAAAAAATGAAATTTTAATGTATCAGCTTAAAATCATACATTCCCTATAATACTTTTCGAAAACATTTCTAAAACGAAAATAAATCCGTAGATGAAGTATAGAAAAAACTCCTGCGGAATAATTTTTTACGACTATTATCATCTCGCTAACAGTGAGAGCAAAGTACGGAACTAATACTTGTGCTTTTCTGGCGTTATTTCATTATCCTGTTAGTGGTAACATCTAACTGCAGAGATAATTAAACAAACTATTATCCTATTCAGTTGAAAGAAGTACAGCTATAACAATCATCAATAGCAATAGTAGTAGTAATAGTAATAGTAGCAGTAGTAGTAACAGTGGTAGTAAAAATATAGTAATAAAAGTATTCGTGGTAGCCCAGTCATTGGTTTTCGCTGTTGTAATGGTTACTGAAGCAATAATACAAGGAATAATACCAGTAATAGATAATTGTCTAAATTTAACAACCTGAGTTGACGACATACACAGAACACAGTTCAGAAACCCGTTTGATTCTCAATATGTTCCGTTCTATGTTTATGAGGAAATATGAAATTGAAATAAATGTCAAAAAAAATTACGATTTTCTGGAAGTATTTCACATAATAAAAAAGAAGTATAACGCTAAAGAAAGGGAAAATCCACTTCGATTCAGGAAGAATCAAAATAAACTACGAACGAAAACTACTATATTCAACATTAGACGGAAATGAGGCAAAAAATCTGTTTTCTAAACTTTAATAGTTTTCCTTCTTTTTTTTTCAACTAAACCTGAGTTAAGCAAGCAAATTCATTTTAAAGTCAATAGTGTAAGTATTGGCACCAAAAATATAGCTAAAGTGACCTATTTTTCAAGAAACCAACGATACAAAAACATAAAGGATATTTCCTTTACAAGAACATAATCATAAGCCAACAATAATCAACTGATCAATCAAATCATCTGCAGGACCAAATATGTGCGATATGTCGAAGGTGCGCTTCAAATATGAGGCAACACGCTGCAATTTACAGTTATCGTGAATTGTTGCAGATTAAAACTCCTTATAAGTTTAAATTTCAAGATTTAAAACTAAGTTGAAAATAAAATCTGCATGAATGTCGTGTGACATGAATTCATGCGAAGTTTGCTCATACAAAATTTAATGTCGCAGAGATCAGACTAAAGTTAATCTTTAGGGAATCTTCAGAATAAAAAGCACTGAAAATCAGATCAAATTTTGCAGTTGATCAAAAAAAAAAAAAAATGTTGGCTTTTTTGAACATCTTTTAGGACGCTTTCTTGTTTCAATTATGCATGATTTTATAACTGTTTCTTTTTTATTTTTGTCTTTTTTTCAGATATTTTTCTAGAGATACACTTCCAGTGTACAATGTAAAACACGATCAAAACATAAACTATAACTAATGTACGTTAGCATAAGAAACAAAACTTGAAACCACATTCAATATAATGTCGCATAATTTAAATTCCAGAAAAGAAAACTAACGATAAGAGTAGATGTCATCATGAGCATATTAGAATAAAGCTCGGTGGCTTGTCGCCCTATACGATCACGTATGATTTGGGCGTACAGATAATTCAAAAGTTTTGTCCTTTCCATTCCTACAGTTGCCCTTCCTCTTACAGAGAGCCCGTCAGCATCTGCAAACATCCCATGGGAAACTCAAAAATTATTTTCTCAACTACCACATCTTATTATTACTTGAAGCACAATAAAAAATACATACGAACTTATTTGCAAATTTCACACATATTTTTGATGTTCTTTTGGAAGAAAAACAACAATTATATTTTTATAAAAACCGTTTTCGCTGGAAAATAACAGTACAAATAAAATGATACAGAAAAATACTAACCCGGATTGAAAAACAACATAATTTTATACAAAACCATATGGCTTTCGGAAAGTTTCAGCCGTAAAATTTGCTGACATATACCATCAATGAGAAGAGCATTTATTGGTAAAGCTTTCTTCCTGGAACCATATAATACGTTAACACTAACATGCTAGCATTTTCTGTAAAACACTAATTTCATACATCCTGGTAGTATGAATAAAAATCCTTTATATTTTTGAAATAATGTGAAAAAAACTGGAAAATACTAAAACAAAAAAATCTCCTACCCACAACTGAACGTACTACTCCCGTCTACATCTTCCCTTTCCAGAAAACGTCCATCTGGATACCATAACCGTTCAACTTTCACAGCTTCATCAACTGTTCCATTAGGCTCAATTGATAACCCTATGATTACGATATCATAATAACAAAAGTGTTCGTAACTTACGATTTTCTTGAATTTGTGTAGAATTTATTCAATTTTTCGCCTCATGTGTAAAGTATAATGTAAAGTATAAGAATATAATACTTCATAACCAATAAGTGATAAAACTACAACGATATAACATGGCAAAAACTATTATAAAACTTCATAATGCATGACTTTATATGGGAGGTGATAGCAATAAAAAAAAACTTAATCGGATTTATCCAAAATAATTTATAGCAACAGACTATATATCATTTATTTAAAACTTAAATGGGTGATATAACTTGTTTACGCTAAAGCAAGCTTATTCAAAAAAAAAAAAGTAATAAATCCAAACATACCTGTACTCGGTACAGGCGACACTGTTAACAAACTTCCCAAAGAACTGTTTATGAACTGATTTTTTTCATATTTACAAGAATAATAGGCTAACTGAATAAGCGGGTAGACAGGTGCAAATGCTTTAATCAGTGCCAGCTGTAAATATTTTATTACAATTGCAGCTCCCTTAATGGTAGCTTATCTGTTAAAGATAATAGTAAACGTCAATGCAACAGAGGTTGTCCAATATCTTAACCACTGAGTAACTGAATACTAATATAAATGAGTCCAAAACTTCGAATTATTTATCTTTTATCGAACTGTAATCTTCAACATCATAATGGTAAATCCATTTAAGACATGTCAATTAAATTACCTTGTCGTTAAGTAGAAGCTGTCTCATTTGTGGAATACATTTTGCCCATTCAATCATTAGTGTTAAATCTTTCACAAACCACGCTCGCATACTTCCACGATCACAGGGTGTAGGAATGGCAACAGGTTGCTATAATTTACCAATTTATCAACACCGATCAATTTTAGCCTCCTTTTCAATATTGTCATCGCCAACCTTTTGCATGCTATAGACAGTTTTCAAAGACTACAAGCACAGGAAGATAAGCTTAGAGAATGCCTTCAGTACCTGGTAGTTTTTGGGAAATTCTTCCATACTTCCAACTTTTTAATGATGTTCAAAAATTTGAAGAGTGATGTGGGAAAGTTTAAAACTTGCCACTGGAACTGTATAGGTTGAAAGCCATGCTTCGTCATCTAGAAGTCGTCTATCATACATGCACGAAGCAGCCGACGTATGGGGAGGAAATTTATTTGAATAGCGGACACCATCGAGTTTGTGCTCCAAACTTAACAGATCCGAAAGTAAACCAGACATTTCAGCCTAAAATATACTTGCAAAGTTACTAACCTAAACCTTTCTTCAGCGATTTGAGATCTAATAAGTACTTTTTTTCTCGACCATCATATATAAAATACCAAACAGCATGTTAAATTCAATCAGGTGAAATACTGCTGTGAAAAATGATTATATAGTCCTATCAAAGTGTGAAAACAATGCTAAAAGTTAACTAACTTGTACATCTTGAATATCATGATCGAGATATGGTCCGTTACTAGCTGGTCCCAAACTTTGCCCAGCAAAGCTTGATGATGGACTTGCAATTGCGTCATCAAGAGAACTGAAAAGATTATCAGTAATGAGTAAAAAATAACATGTATTCATATCCAAATTAAATTTACGATACAAATTAAAACAAAATCGTAAGAAATCATACAGAGTGCTTTGAGGACTGTTTTCTCTTTCCTCTCTCATCGGTTTCCCATTAAAAATCTCTCTGTTATCACATGCTTTCTCATCTTTCATCTTTTTCAAACGTTTGGTATAACGAATCTTGTCCCTATCATGTTGGATAGCTATAATTAATTAAATCTATGAAGATAACTTTTATACTTTACTTTGTACATAAAAACTGAACGAGCAAAACCACATAAATGCTATGTGCAGTTTCAAAAAACACAAATGAGGTACATAATCACTCCAGACTGATACAGTAATAATTGTTAAATCTTATCACATTTTAGGAGAGTGTCCTCCAGAATACTGGACAGTGATCATAAGGACTGCCTGATATAAGCTAATATGAAATATAACAATCTCCAATTAGTAAAAATTTTTAAAACTAAAATAATAATCTAAAGACAGCTGACCATTTGGATCCATTCCCATTTCGAAGCATTTCTTTAATCGACAACTTCGACAACCACATCGTACGGCTGGAAAATAGTCGCAATATCAAAAAGATTGTAATTTGAAATCATATATTCCAACTAGCTAATGAAATGGTTCGCCTGTCATCCAGAAACAAAACATATTTCTCTATATTTCTTTTTTTCGAAACGCAACACGCAGTTTTCTTTATCAACAAATGTAATTTGGTTGGGTAATTATCGACCAGCAAAACTATTACATACTTACATTTATCAACGATACAATCGTCGGAAAATTGGCACTGGAAAGCTTGCTTATTCTGAAAACATGAAAGTTTCAGTTTAAAAGAATAAAATTCGGAAAAAAAGACGAAAGAAAAAACAGAATAGTAATATCCGTAACTTACGCAAATTTCTCAAGAACTGTAACAAGGAACTAAGATACTCATTTCAAATTTCGTGGTTTTGTTTTCCATTTCAAATAATGACATAAGAAAAATAAAAGAAAAAAAAAACATACCACAAGCGCACGTCGGAAGAATGTTTTACAACCGTTACAACTAGCAACCGAATAATGGATACCGCTGGCCAAATCTGAGCAAACAACACACAACGTACCTTCCGGAATTTTTTCTCTTCCTGAGAAAAAGAAAAATGAATTCAAATAATAGTAATATGAAAAAAATTAAGCAATGATCCAAAGCTATTACCATTTCTGCTTCCTTTTAAAGAGATTTTCATAAATGACAAAAAAGCATAAATTTTTACTTTTTTTATTGTCACATAAATCTTCAATAGAACTGACATCTATTAATACTTGGAAAGTGGAGGAGGAAATATATATAAACATGCTTCATGTGCAGCATAAATTCCCTTCCTGGCATAACAATTACAAATAAAAAAAATGGAATTCCAAAGATTACAAAGCGTGATTTTGCTACTTAAATAATGGAATCATTTATATAAAATACAGGAAAAGAATTTTTCTTCCCTTAGTTTTTGATTAGAACAAAAGAGAAAAGCTTTTAATAAATTTTCAGAAAAGGAAAGGGATGGGAGAGAAGTCTAAACCGATCATTTGAATCATTTTCAGAACACCAGAAAATTTAAAATCAGTTGGATAGATATGTGAAAACTTTCGGGATTAACATGTAATATTTAATGACGAAATATGAAATACCAGTTGAGTAAAAGTAAAAAAAAGGTAAAAACAAAAAAAAAAAGTAAAAAAGAATGAATCATTTGTGTAACTGTACAGACTAAACGATTTCAGTCGATATGAAAGTTGAAATGATTCTGTCGTAACGTTACGATAATAAATTATTAGCTAGCAGGTATAACATGTTGTGCAATTAAGGGCATGAATTATAAATTTGTGGAAACTTTAAAACTTACTGTTATTAGGCATATCGATTCGGAAGGTGTAGAAACTTGAGGAAAGATGCACATTGCAGAAATGTTACAGAAATGCGGGATCATCCGCCATTTTATAGAAACTCCATCAAGATGGACTGGTGAAATTTATTAAATTATCATCAAGCAACTTTTATGGTTCTATGTGTTGAAAAATAACACGCAAATAATAAATATACGTAATGTTTACATCAACCGTATGGACGACACTGAAGCCTAACTTACTATTATAAATTTTTAAGATGATTTCATTTAAATGCATCAAATATCTCAGTGAATTTCTAAATGATATTTAAAAGAAAAAAACGATATGCAAATTTCTACCATTTGATGAATACAATTTGCTCATATGTTGTTAGGCCACTGCAGTTGGTTTGTTTTAGTGACACAAGTTTCCTTCATACGAAAAATTTGTTGTATCCTTTCCAAGGGCATTCATGTGACCTAGTTTTTATCCTCATGTATGCCTTCTTCATATACGTACGTTGAGCTCACTTTCTCTCTCATCCAACATCATCAAAGACTGGAAACGTGGAAAGAACGAAGTGGAAAGAAGGAAATTTCTATGAAATAAATCTCGAAATCTTCTTTGCTACTTCCGTTGGACAAAAAAAAAAAAAGAAACAAACAAACAACAAAGGGCTGAATCAATTGTAGTTGCCTTTTTTTGCCTTCTTTTTTTTGTTAATTTCAAGATTTCAAAAATTTCGAAAATTTATAAATTGCAGAAAAGTAGCAGAAACATCAGATGCCCCGGTGAATTAGACAACAAGGTGAAGAGCGAAAGAAGGGGCCGGAGTAAAGTAGAGGGAGAGGGAAGCCACATTTCACCCCTGGAAAGCTCGCCATTTCCTGGATGCCACATGGATCGATCGACCGTTTGCTATCGGTCGAATTCCTACTTTTCTCTCTCTCTCTCTCTTATCTCTTCCATCCTCTCTCCTCTTCTTTTATTCTTTCTCTCTCTCTTTTTTGGTACCTTTTTTTTCACAATATATTAAATCGGATGTAATGCTTTCATTGATTTCGTTAATATCATAATCGTACGGACGCGGGGTAATTATACTTTACGTAAGTAAATGTTCACAGGCATTTAAGACTTCCACCACTTGGTCAAATGCAAAAAGCCACAAAGCTCATTATGTCATTTCATTTGTGTAAAAAGTTTGTTCTAATACTGGAATATTGCTAGAGTTACTCTCAATCCATTCCATCAACAATCTTTTTTTACCAAAAATAAAAGAAAAGGAAGAAGAAGAAACTGGCAAAAAATGTGGAAAAAAAAAAAAGAGAGAGGGAAAAAAAGAATCTTTCAGTTAGAAATTCAAATTTGAATAAAATTTACTTTTTTCAAATTTACGACATTACTTTTTTTCAACTAATGTATTTTTATTGTTTTTGAAACGATGAAAACAGTTCGAGAAGGATTTTTCAGGAGAAAAAAAAAAAAGAAAAGAAAAGAAAAAAAGAAACCCTTAGCTTCCTTTCCAACAGCAATTCACTTAAATTCTTACAAATTTTTGATAATAAATCGAAATTCGGAATTTTGATTTGTTATCAAAAATTTTTTCTTTTTTTTCTCAATTGTTGAAAAGAAATTAATTTTTTGTGACAAATACACGGTATAACAAATACAGGGCGGGAAATTTTTTTATAAGTGAAGGGCATGAAAAAAAAAAAGACAGGTATGATTGCAGATTTGACATTCCAGTATATGTTTGGTATTTGTTAATTCTCCTGTTGAAAAACAGATGAAGAAAGTAAAGCTTTCAGTTGATGTATTATATGCACAGCAATGAATTTTAAATATGAAAGGGACTTTTTTTTTCAGAAAAAAAAGGTAAACAAAAATGGTGAAAAGGTTATAAATTTTATTACTAACTGACAGGTGAGAAATGATACCTCAATAGTAAAAGGCCTTATCGAGGTTAATGCTAATTTTATTGTGAGATCAAATAGGAATGATAGACGTTAATTTGGTAAAAGTCCATAGCATTTACTTACTATTAGAACTTTTAAATGGTTAAAGAATTCTGAATGAGATCAAAACAGATCAATCAGGAATTTTAACTAAAAAGTTTTCTAAGCTTAAAATTAGTTTTACTGTGTTTGAATTACAATTCTTGCATTATGAAATAAATGATACCTGTTGACAAATCTGAACACTGGAAAATATGGTTATAATATTTTTAAAATTGTAAATGCTTCTAGAACAGCAAACTAAATATCAAATTTCTTTTTTCTAAATATATCAAATTTCATTTCGAAAGTTAATTTTTTTTTTTTTTTTTAGTCATAATGAAGTTGCACTCACATATAAACTTTATTTCCTATGAAGATAATGTAAAATAATTTTGGAATATGTGAAAATTCACATTATCGTAATAATATGAAAAGTAAACGAAACAAATTTTCTTGTCCATTACCCTTTTTATTTCTACTAAGCCATTCTTTTCTGTTTCAACAAATAAATTTCGATTACATTCCCAATATATGATCAAAGCATTTGGATTTATATTTATGAAGTGTTAATTGTTTAAATTACAAGAAAATAAACTTACTTCCATGTTTCTCTTTCTTGATAAGTCTTTTTCCTTCTCTTTTAATATCAGTCATTCTCTGATCGTATTTAAATGGCATTTGGAATAAAGTATTAGTATTTATAATATTTTCATAAATTGCATTTGGCTGTGATATGTTATTGGTAGTATTTACATACAAAGTATCCGGAATTACTGTTGATGAATCCATGTAAAATGATGAAGCAAACTGCTTAAAGTCTGACGTATGCCTGACCACTTCAACCATTTAATCGATTTAATCAGCACTTTTTAGTTTAAAATTGTAAATAAAATTGCTGACCCAATGCTGTAGTGGAATAAAAATTCTGAAAATTATTTTATTTGTCAATTCATTAAATCATAATAAATGTTGAAATTTTTTTTTCTGTTGAATAACTGACGGAAGAATTAGAATTTTACTTCAAAAGAAAAACCTTTCAATCTTAGGAGATTAAAATTGATATCATTCAAATTTATCATATTTTGAGAAAATAAAAAGAAGTGTTATTAGTTTTAAACTGTATCTTAATGTCATGCATTCTTTTCGTCACCTGCTTTTTTTTAAAATTTCTCTCTTAAGTAATATTTTAACACTTGGAAATGATACAGCATTTAATCCATTCATCCTCTCAAATATTTAAATTCTCACTTTTTTCCCTCCGTATCTTACTTATTCTTTTCTTATCCTCTTTTATCATTTGATAATTGTTGATTAGGAAGAGAAGTTCGTTCCACTTCAGTCATTATAAACAAAAGAGAATGTGAAGAAAATATGTCGTTTCATGTCTACGTCATAAACGTTCAATGTATAAGTTAGGTTACAACTGCATCATCAACGTCAATTGTGTTTGTTTGATAACAGATTACCAAAGGTTTTTTTTATTTCCTTTTTTTCGAAACAATAAATCATTAAATGAGAATTTTGTTAAAACTGATCATTTAACTAAAACTATTTGATTTTAGCATTTAATTTTAACTTTTACTTCTGCTAGGCAATATTTATTTAACAAAATCTAAGCAAGACCCTGGAAGAAATGCAAGAAGTAAAAGTAAAGCACTGAAAAGGTTCGCCATAACATCTGATGAAGTAATGGAATGAGTTTTCGAAATGTATAAACGTACGACAGCCCTAAATAATCATTAAATTTCACATGTATAATTATACATACATGTGCAGGTAAAATAGAAACAAGTTGAGGTATGTTTAAGTATATTTCAAGCCTAATATGTTAATTTAGGTAAACTTCAATATGAATATTTTCTTTTTCAATCTAATTATTTTTAAATTTAAGACATAAGCCGCTAATGACCCAACGAAGTACGTTTCAATAGGAAAGTTGAAATGGAAATATTGGAAAAAAATCAATTTTAATTTATTGTTAGCTTCAGATAATACCTGTAATATCTACAAATAGCACTTCAAACTTTTTGCTTCATGATCATTTTAAAGTTCTCAAAATCTTGACTCCAACAACATCACTAGTTGCAAGGTTGCAAAAATTATTCAAACAGTCTTTCCTTATTTTTCAATTAGATTATTTCGTTTTATTATCTAGCAATAAAAAGGTGAGCAAATCTTGCAAAATCTGTTAATCTTTTCCAGGATTTCATCATGTTGATGTATTTTTTGTAGGTATTATCTAATCAATAATGATTTAAATTGAAATATATTTACGACAAATTTTTATACCGATTTAATTATCTATCTATGAAATATGAAATTCCTACTTTAACAAAATATCCAATTGCTTGATAATACTGAAAGTAACAGCTGTTTTTTTTTTCTTTTAATCTGAAAATGAAAGAAGAAAAATAAAATAAAAATCTTTCAAATGTGTGTTTGCATGCATACATATATGTATGAAGAGAAGGTTTTAATAAATTAGAAGTTAAAATTAAAAGTACTGCTGGACAAAGTCTCAGTTAATCACAGAATCATAAAAAAAAGCTATAAAATAAACCTGACACTATTATAAATTTAAGTAACCAGAAAGAATGTGCAAAATTTCATCGAAAAAAGCTTTAAAGTTAAAATCTATAATTATTAAGATTGCTTAAATATTTTAGCTCTATTTATAAAAAAACTTTCGTTTTTCGTTTCTAATTTTTCTAAATAAAGTAAGAAATTTACTGTCATATGATTAAAAAATAAATATTGCAATTTATAGTAAATTTGAGAAATTAAACTGAAATTGATATGTAGAAATTTGAAATGCGAGAAGCTACACTTATATTCCTAAAGCTTGATTGTATTTAATGTTAATAATTATAGTTACCATTAGTTTTTTTTTCAATTTTCGAAAATTCCAATATTTCCGCATAAGCTTGATAAAATTATTTCCTTGATGCTAGTCGAATAAATGAAAACTAGAAGTAGAGAGGAATATGTGACGATATCATATGAAAGTACTATTCGACATATAAGATAGCTTCA